TCGACGCAGAAAATTGGAGCAAACAAATATTTCCTGATCAATTGCGATGTGTTCCAAATAAAAAATATTTTATTCCAGTCCAAATCAGCTCAATTACTTTAATAAAGAGTTATTGTATAATGTACAAAATGTTGATACAATTTGATGAATATTTCCAGCTTCAATGCCGTAGACGATTTTGGCCCGATCGTCAACAAAACATCACCCGTCTCCAGGGCAGGCGACTGGAAAAAGACACTGGTGTTCGGTCGAACCGGTGGAAACAAAATCAACACCCCCAGAATAACTATGCGGAATAACGATCTAAAGTCGAACCATTCGAGTCACAATATTAACATAAAAATGACTTTCATTGCATTTGACAATGATAAACTTACCGAAAAGCCGTGTTATTCACGGTTGGTATAATCCACCATTTTATTTGAGTGTGTTTGCCATCCGGTGACGTCATCATGTGCGCTATAGAAGGAGGTATGTGATTCGTTGACTAAAATCGTCAATAGTGGGTCTCGTTGAAATCTCGTTACATAGGCGTCGGATCAGATGTAGGTAGGGCGGAATTAAAAAAAAATCTCAAAATCAAAGTAAAATAATAAAATAAAAGGGCATTAATAACAAATATAATAAAAAATAAAATTAAAATAAGTGCAAGTGGCTATATTTTAAGAGCAGAAATTAGAGGCAAAGTTTTACAGTTTACCTTGCAAAGTACCATTCATTCATCTGTAAGAGGAGATTCCTTCACTCCAAACTTACATGAGTATCATTTGCAAAAGGCAACACTTGAAAGAAAAGCTGTCACACAAGTCAGGTTGAAACCATCAAATGCCAATAGTGAAGAAGGCGAAATTCTTATATATGGGGGTCTAGTAGAATAAATATATTACAGTCTTTAAATTTCTCTTATAAAGTGGATATGGATTCATCACCAACATTTAAACTCAATGAAATTGATTCGCTGAATTTATTGAAACAGATATGTGTTACAATTAAAGCCGACACTGAAAACTGGCACATATAAAACCAAACCACATTTAGAACGGCAAGATAAATACATAGAAGATGATGCCATAGCAGTCATGGCAATCAATATTTGCCTGCAGACTTTTGGTGCATCAATTACTTGTTGGAAAAAGTTATTTGATCAGTGATGTAACAGTTAAGTCATACCAGCAAGAACCATTTTTAAATATGAATCCAAGTACACAAATCAAGGAAATAACACTTCTTCCAGTTGGTACTGCTCATCAGATTAAAAAAAACGACAATGAATGCCACAGTTGTAACAACTGTACTCACTCCCTATGAGCGTGGGGGGAGGGGGTATCGGCTGGTATCTAGAAATAGACAAGGGATGAAGGCTCCAGCCAACTCACATTGTTTAAACCCAAAAAAACACTCAAAAAGAATATAAAATAAAATCTAAATCAAAGAAAGCTTAGAAAGAACTCCCATGTGCTGAGAGTATTGGAGACACATTAAATATAATTCGAAATTACTTAGCTGAAAACTAATTATGCAAATCAGAAAATTAATATGACCAGATTTGAGTGTAAAACTAATGAGGTCTGCGCAATGTAACAGAAAATCTATGTCTCCAAGTTTAATTGAAATGTGATTAGAACCAAAAAATTATGAATTATTATGCTTATTAGGGAATTAATATGAACAGATTTTTACCCCAAACTAATTAGGTTTGTACATTGTCCTAGAGCATCTTTGTACTAAGTTTCATTGAAATGGAATAATTAGCACCGTGAAAACTCCAAAATTTCGACCCCTCTAAAAATTTGACCGCCTATTTATTTGCCGGGTTTCGGTGTTTTATCACCTCCAAATTTTCGACT